GGGGGGGGGGGTCCCTCCTCACCTTGGTCAAACGGCCCTCCGTGGGCAGGTTCTGGTGGTTGATCTGCCTCAGCAACCGTCTCTCATACTCTTGGTCCATCTGCTCAGGGCCGCGGGGGGCCCCTTCCCGCCCCCCTTTTACACCTCCGCTCCCTCCCGGTGAGGAAATCCGCAGAGGATCTCCATATCTAAACAAAAACACGAACAAACCCGGAGAAACGGACATCTTTAAAAAGCTAGGATGACAAGCGGCCCGGTTAGCCTGATGTGTTCATGCTGAATGGGCTCGCAGGGTTTAAACCCCCCGTCGCCATTATTATTATAATTTTTATTTTAAACCAAGCGGCTAATAAAGGGAGACATCTCTGAAACGTTTCAGGATGTGCCAAAAAAGGAAAGCCGCACCGTTGTCATGGCATCTTATGCTCGCGCTCACATATAAACCGTTTTCATCTCTTCAACTAATAATGAATCCATCCAGCCGAATGGCTGCGTGTTTCACCGACCTGTCAGTGTCTCAGGTGACCAGGGCGGCTGACATCTTCTGCGGAAAAGATCAGCTCCGCGGTGGGATTTGCTCTTATTCCGTGGAAAACCTACAGCGGTACGGTCAGACGCCAACGCGACTCCCCCTGTGTTGTTTATGTTCGCGACAAAGATGGCGTCCGCGTCAGCTGGAGCAGAAATTCTTTGGTTTGAGTTGACTTCTGCTGCTCTGAGCAGTCAGCACTGGAGATGACGCAACAGCGACACCAGCTGGTGACTTCTACTCATTGCTGTTAAAAACGAGGCTACTGTCTGTGTGTTATTTTTAAAATGCTGGTGAATATTCTCAGTTATGCAGAAGAGGATTAGGGCCACTGGAAAAAAAAAAAAGTTAACTGATTTTTTAAATTTTATTTCACTATAATATTGGGAAAAAAGTCAGGCTTTTGACTTTTTTTTTCTCAGAATTCATACTTTAATCTCAGAATTCATGCTTTTATCTCAGAATTCTGACTTTTCTCTCAAAATTCTCACTTTAATCTCAGAATTCTGACTTTTTTCTCAGAATTCTGACTTTAATTCCACAATTCTGACTTTTTTCTCAGGATTCTGACTTTCATCTCACAATTCTGACTTTTTTTCTCAGAATTCTGACTTTAATCCCACAATTCTGACTTTTTTTCTCAGAATTCTG